GAAACATCTGTAGAATTAGCGTAGCCTGAATATGTAAGTACATTTTCTACCTGGTCTTTAACTTCACTTAACTGACCTCACTGCTTATAAACGTCTCAAGCACACTACTAACAGCAAAAAATTTACACCCTAATTTCCAAATAGGTAAAGCAGGTAGAAAACCTCCAGAAGCATGGTAACTAGGAAGGTCCTTATGACGATATAGCCACTTGTTTGTTATGACAAGTGATTTTTCAAATAACATTTTATGTTATTAAATAATTGGAGGAAATTCTTCAGAAAAGGAAGATAATTTTAGCCTACTCAGAAATGACCCAGAAAGTATGCTCAAAGTAAAGACTGTATATTATTGACTGGGAAAATTATCCCAAACCATTATACCCATCTGTCTACCTTTCTATCATGAGCTATGTATGCATGTATATATTGCACAGATACATATATATATGTATATACATATACATGTATGCATGTATATATTGCACAGATACATATATATATATGTATATATATATATGTATATATATATGTATATATACATATATATATATACATATATATATATATACATATATATATACATATATATATATATATATATATACACTTGAATTTTTTTTTTGGTGGCACTGGGGTTTGAACTCAGGGCTCATGCTTGTTAGGCAGGTACTCCTTCACTTTAGTTATGTTCTCAGTCCCCTGTTTGCTTTAGATATTTTTCAAATAAGGTCTTGCCATTTATGCCCAGAGTGGCCTAGACCAGGACTCTCTTATTCATGCTTTTCAAGCATGACAGTTTGAGGACAGCTGTGAGCCACTGTGCTCATCTTCATTGGTTGAGATGAGGTCTTATGACCCTTTTCCCAAGGTTTGGCCTCAAACTGTGATCCTCTTGATTTCTGTCCCCTGAGTTCCAAGGATTAAGGATGAGTCACAGCACCCAGTTTTGTATTTCTTCTCAGATAAATAACCAATAAATTTTAACAAGCTTATGTTGATTTGTAGGAGTAGAGGTTGATTTGTAGGAGTAGAGGAACAACAAGTTATGTTCTCTTTTAATTACATAAGGTTCTTTTCAATAAGTGGAACATAAGGAATTCCAAATGAATAGGCTCCTTACATAAGAAAGAAATGCTTTCTTTTTGTTTTTAAATCATCCAACCTTCCCTAATAAATACAAGGCTCAAATTTAATTCAGAGTAGTCTTTAACAAGTAAATGGTCTGCAAAAGATCAGCTGTGTTATTTTCTGAAATGGCATTCTTCCTCTCAGATAAATGCAGAAGAGTAAAGATTAGCTGGTCAGTAAATTAAATCTGCAGGATTGGTTTCATAAGCACAGGATTTATGTGAAAACATACTGAAGGGTTGTCTTTTATAGCCATTTCATACTACATTTAATCAAGGAAAAAAGAATCAGCTAGAATATTACTTTCTCACATGGAAAAAACCCAGATCCAACACTTGTTCTTTAAGATATTTCCAGTGGGTAGTGTTTGCATATGTGTCTTCTGTGGTATCAACAAGCTTCCTTCCTCAGTATGTCAGGACTGTCAAAATAAATGAGCAATTCTGGAAACATATTCCTGAGGTTCTTTGTTAGGTTATATGAGAGGAGAGAAGTGATAGCAAGTTTGCCTGCCACCTTCACCCAACTCCCTCCCACCTCTCCTGCTCCAAGTCATGTCATAAGCTAACTCTTCAGTTGCAACATTTTTAAAAGAAAGGATAGCTTTTTACAAAATTTGAAAATAAGTGTGGCATGATGGTGCACGCTGGTAATCCCAGCACTCAGGGGGGTGAAGCAGTAGGATCGAGAGTTCAAGGCCATTTGGGATCCATAGTGAGTTCAAGTCAGCCTGAACTACATAGTCAGACTCTGTCTCAAAAAGAAAAAGAAAATATGTGTGTTGAGGATGGTTCTGTTTTCAGAAAGCTGCACAAGGAAAGAAAATTCTTCTAGGACTAACTAGTATTTCCAGTTTGAAATGTAATTTTGTATCTCTCCTGAAAGTGGCAAACAACTGGACATTGTATAAGTCTTTCTAGAATCTCTAAAGTTGCTTTGTGGCATCCAGAAATCCAATAATTAGGATTCTGGATATGGTTCTTCCACAAAAATAATATAATTTTAAATGTAGACTAAAGAGGATAACAAATCACCTTTCTCATATATTTATTCTTCTAAAATCCCCCCAATTAAATCTCAATGTTGCTTCAAATGTCTTTAGAATGATTCTTGTTTAAAGTTCTCTCTTTTGGATCAAGTTTTTCATCAGGGACAGAATACATTGATTAATGATTACTATAATATATGCATATAAACACATATATGTAGCTCTACATTTAGTCTACAGATACATAATAAAATTGTTCATTATTTTTAATGAACAATTGTTTATTAAAAATATATTTATAATTCATTACATACTAATTTAATCAATGTCCATTTCTACAATGGTCCTCTGGGTAAAGACACTAGCTCTGGTTAAAGAGACTATGGGCCACTATGGCATATAGAACATATCCAGAAATAATCATAACATATGGAGGCGAAGCAGGAGCAAATACTGTCAGAGCCGTGTGAAGCAACAGGAAACAAATTGGAGGAGAGAACAGTTTCTTCCTAAGGTAGTTCTAGAAGATTAATTATGAAGCTACTCAGAAGTTTGTCTTAACTTCCTTGTTTTTTATTTTTATTTATTTATTTATTTATTATTCATATGTGCATACAATGCTTGGGTCATTTCTCCCCCCTGCCCTCACCTCCTCCCTTACCACCCACTCCACCCCCTCCCTCTCCCCCCCACCCCCTCAACACCCAACAGAAACTATTTTGCCCTTATCTCTAATTTTGTTGAAGAGAGAGTGTAAGCAATAATAGGAAGGAACAAGGGTTTTTGCTGGTTGAGATAAGGATAGCTATACAGGGAGTTGACTCACATTGATTTCCTGTGCATGTGTGTTACCTTCTAGGTTAATTCTTTTTGATCTAACCTTTTCTCTAGTTCCTGGTCCCCTTCTCCTATTGGCCTCAGTTGCTTTAAGGTATCTGCTTTAGTTTCTCTGCGTTGAGGGCAACAAATGCTAGCTAATTTTTTAGGTGTCTTACCTATCCTCATATCTCCCTTGTGTGCTCTTGCTTTTATCTTAACTTCCTTGTAAAACACTGACAGCATCTTCCCTCCTCACTCCCTATTTCATTAGAGTATTACCATTGTCTACATTTCTTAAATCTAAGTTGCTAATGTGGGCAATATAGGGCTTAGTTTGTTAACAATATCCTTACTACAAGACATAATATCACTTAGCAAAGCATAGAGAAATTGCTTTCCGATCAGTTTAAAACAGTATTATTTTATTTTTATGTTTGGGAAATTTTGCAATGATAGTTTCAAGATGCTCATTAATTTTACTTCCTGTATTAAGACAAGCACAAGAATCTATTACTCATGCAAAATCAAGGAAAAAAATGTGCAAAGTTGGTTACACACTTACATATTTTAGAATCACAGTAATACATTATCTCAATCTTTAAATGAAGTGTAAGTCAATGTTCCTATTTTTCAGATAATAAAATCTAGAGCACTGCCAGCAGCTCAGTAGTCTGGAAGTGCAGAACGCATCAGAAGTCAAGGTAGTAAGACACCTTGACCTAGCAGAGAGGCTCAGATCCAGGCAGAAAAGAACCAGTGTCCAGGCTGTCCCTAGGACATGGAATCAAAAACAGGGTTTTGATACTTTTAGATGATTGTTATTGCTTCACTCATAAAAAATCATTTCTCCAAAGATTCTAAGCATCAGGAAACTAGAAACTCTCTTAATTTCAAACATATGTGCTCCAACCAATACCACCAGGAATGCATTAAAGTAGCCGAAAACAATGGCAAAGGCTGGGAAGTCTTACAGTGTGGAAAATCTCCTGAGAAGCAATATATTCCTTATTACCAGGTGTCAGTCCCAAGGACATAGCACTCTTTTTTTGGGGGGGATGGAGGATGAATCTTAATGGAACATATACACTATATCCTGATTGCTTTTGGGGAGGATAACAGAAAATGTTCATTTATAGGATGAAGAAGAAACACGGACAAAAGATAGAACCTCGTTATATATAGTAATATTTTCCTTTTAACTTTCCACTTTGCAAAATCAGAATAAAAGGGGGAATTGATTTAGAAAAATACACTAAATGGTTTTAAAACATTGAGGACAAAATTTCATAAAATATAAGTACTAGCTAAAAAACATTGTAACCTTTCACTTCTTTCAGATTTGTACAATAATCTTAATACTAACAGCATTCTAAACACTTCCAGAGAAGCTATTGTATCTTCTATCACTTGTGAAGCAACATTTTGACTATAAATAAGCTGTCACTCTTGTTTCATTTGTTGGGATTCACAATTTTTCTCAAGATAATCATAATTAACATTATATCTTTCTTTATAACAGTGAAAATCATTTAGTTTATAATTCTGTTGCTTCAACAGCATAAGTTGGAACAGCTTTCCCAAACTTGAGAATGACAGAGCCAGTGAAATTTACATCACTTAGCAATTCTACTTAAAAAGGAAGTCACCCCCTCCATCATTCTCCTTTATCCCCTTCTCCCACCATTCCTGGAATTGTTTCAACAGGTATCATTTTTCCATTTACATACCATTCTTTAAAATATTAGTCAGCTTTCCAAAGAAGTCATTCTTTTAACACTCCTGATAATGAACTAAAATTGGATCCTTTTATTTAATCAAAACTCAGCTAGAAAAGTGAAAGAAGTCTAACATTCAACAACCAAAGAAATTATACCAATTACAAAAACAAGTACTACTTATGGGACCATGTTTGCTAGTAAACCAAGTCTAAAATATCCAATTTATACTCAATTTCTGCTTTTTTTCCATACTCTGTCAGAATATCCTGATCTAGAAAACTAAAGAACTAAAACACCTTTACTTTATTTCACAATTTGTTCATAATCAATATAAATACATTACTGACCTTAATTCCAGCCAGCAGTCACAAGTTGGATCAGATCAATAAAACTGAAAGAGAGAGAGAGAAAGAGAGAGAGAGAGAGAGAGAGAGAGAGAGAGAGAGAGAGAGAGAGAGAGAGAAGGCCTGGTAAATTAAATCAGTTGGACAATTCAGCCTTTCTTTTTACTAAGGAGAAAAGTCAAAAGTTAAGTGACTTGTTCTTCACAAAATAAAATTTACTGGCTAACAGGCACCCATTTACAACATACAGGGGCTATTTATAATAACACTGTTTAAAGTATTGTCAGATTTCATTTCAAAACATACAATAATTTCCAAAATTGGGTCCTATTTTCATTTTAGTAGTGTTTTATACATTTAAAGAGTTCTTATATTCTAAAACATACAATAAAAAAAGAATTTTTATCACATTCTATTCCTCCTAATGTGCTCCATTACTCTTGAAAGACATTTAATTAAAAGCAATAAGCCGGGTGCTGGTGGCTCATACCTGTAATCCTAGCTACTCAGGAGGCAGAGATCAGGAGGCTCCCAGTTGGAAGCCAGCCTGGGCAAATAGTTCATGAGACCCTATCTTGCAAAAACCCTTCACAAAAGAAGGGCTAGTAGAGTGGCTCAAGGTGCAGGCCCTGAGTTCAAATCCCAGCACAGGAAAAAAAAACAATAAAATGGATTTGTTTGGATTCTGCCATAGACTGAATGTTTATGTACTCACCCTGCGTAATTCACATGTTAAAATCTTTATCCACAATGTAATAGAACTGGAGCTGGGACCTTTGGGAGGTGATTAGTGCCCTTATGAAAGTTAGAACACAGAAAACTCCTTTATCCCTTCAGTCATCTGAAGCAACAGACTCTCATCCAATGCTGAATTAATGAGCTTAGACTTCCCAGCATCCACAGCAGTGAGAAATAAGTTTCTATTGTTCATAAGCTGCCTTGTCTATGGTATGTCTGTTATTATAACCCCAACAGACTAAGCCAAATCCTTAATCTCATTTAATAGTCACAGAGAATATGTAGACTATTTGTCCAGAACCATCAATCAGTCCAAAGACTGCAAAGTTCAATCAAGACAATTCCATTAGCAATTTGTCAATCTTCCCACTCATCTACTATTCCTAAGGCTTACCATTAAAATATGCTGAGAAGTAACTATGTGGAAAAGCAATTTGGCAAAGGAAAAATAACAAAGAAGGTAAATGAAGGACAAAAGCAACACCCCTCTCAAAAAAAAAAAAGTGACAAAAACCACCCAGTCCTTTGGACAAATAACAAAGAAAACAATTTCAGAACAAGAGTGAGATTCTTCACTTGTTTCAAGGAGCATCTATGGCAAAATCTCCAATTAAAAAACAAGTTAGGTTCTAGAAATATTTGTGAGTTAATTGGTTGAAAGTTAGTGTATGTTCACCTACATGTCAGAAATGTTTCATTATTAAACAATTAGGCTAAGTTCCAAAACTAAATGAACCTAAAACAGTGATTATTCAATAAAAAATATGAAATAATATAAGATAAATGCTAGTAAACAACAAAAATACAATTGGATATGGAATAGTTGAATTTTAATCTTAAGGACAGGTGCTTAGGGAAAGTGAGCTTTTTGTGTGTAAGAATGAAATGGCAGGTTGATATATCTGTTTACTTTTTTTAACAAAAGATCTGGGGACACAATAGAGGACTATACCTTTAGTATGTCTACCTTAATTTCAAACACCTGATGTTATTTTACTTTGACAGAAATATCATCCTATATCTGAATAAACCAAATAGCTCCCCAACTGTCATATGGCTCTCCAGGTTATAAAGTAAACTCATGGGAAATATTTCAACATATGGAAAAAACAACAACAACAACACAACAATATCCATTAGGCATCATACAATCACAAATTTAAAGTATTTTGCAGCTTCAAAATTTGGTCATGTTATATGCTTTTAAATGAGATCATAGTTTTACAAAGTAAAGTCTTTGGTATTGTTTATACAAGACTGCCAATACTGGATGAAAATTGGTGTGGAATACGAAATAAGGGTGACAGTATCCATAGTGACGCTAAGGTTTGAGAACTGGGCAGTATCTAACATCCACAAATTCAAGTAGTAAGTAGTTCCGAGTTTCCAAGAATTAAATAAAAACAGTGTTTCATTCAATTCGTGTGTATTATTTTTCAAAAGACCATTAAGCTGTTAGTACATAAATACTTACTATGCTAATTAAATGGAACTGTGAGGTAAATCTTTTGACTCAGAGGAGTCACGAAAATAAAATTACTCAGGTATGAAGGGTGCCATAAACTAAGAAAGTTTGGAGCACTCTCTATAAGTGAATATTTTTTAAAATGTTTTGTTACACAAATTTAAAGAAAAGAAAAAGCAGGAGAAATTAAAAAGCCACAAAAAGCACTGAAGGATAGAGAAAGAAGAGAGCCTGACAAATATGTTCTTACTTAAGAAGAAACATGTTAGAAGACTGGCAAGAAAACTGGTTCATCACACAAGAGGCTGGGTACATGCACACTATTGTGTGTGCAAGAGGTGGCTAAATAGTACACGTGAACATGGGTGATGAAAGAAAGAGACAAATAGTGAGCACCCCATATATGTGCATTTCAATCATGTTGATCATCAATCACCATCTTCTAAAGAAAAGGAGATAGGGGTTGGGGATTTAGCTCAGTGGAAGAGTGCTTGCCTGGCAAGTGCAAGGCCCTGAGTTCGGTTCCCAGCACCAAAAAAAAAAAAAAAGAAAAGGAGATACTAGAAAAAAGATTTCTATTCAGATTCAAGTATTCACTAGAAAAAGTGATGAGTAATGTGGGTGTACTTAACACCACAGAACTGTGCCCTTACAAATGGCTAAAATAGTAAATTTCATGTTTACATATATTTTACCACAATAAAAAAGTGATTCTGTGATTCCAGTATCTCTCATGGCATATAGAAATTAAATCTGTAGTCATTTAATGCATATTGAGTGATGAATCCTGGTTTGATACCACCACTTAACTCAAAGGATTTAAGGGGAAAGTGGTTCACCAGGAAAGCCTACATGGAAATGCCCATTTCTTTTTGTGCAGTTTTAAGCTTCAATTTCCATATTATCACAGACACTTCTCACTAAGTAAGAGTTCATTGGCATATTAGATAAAGGATCTTTTATTTTTAATATTCTCCTAAAAAGGATTTTATTTCTTTGACATGCACTTCCAAATATATACTTTCTTAGTAAAAATAGAATGACTGTAGGCAGAATTTTTCAAAAGTCATGAGTATGAAACACAGCCCTACATTAAGTGTTCTCTGTGATTGGGAAGACACTACAACTTTCCCCTCTCTACACCAATGCCTCCAAGTCTCAACACTAAAAAATTCTGTTTTCAATATAGAGTCAAATACAAACTTTATTTAAAAATGCAAATGAGATTTTTAACTATGTGGACATTGTATTTGAACTTGTAGGCTTAGCGAGGTGTTCAGCACAGAGAAGAGTCAAAAATATTACCAAATAAATGAAGGTATTTAGAGTTGTACTTTTATGATTCTTTGTTAAATTTAATGAAGCTGTTGGGAATTCCCATCTTAGTGGAAACAAGTAAAAAAGAAAGAATCCTATCCTTACCCCACTTGCCCTCTACTGAAAACATCTTAAATAACTTATTTTGGGAAAACTGGATATCAACATGCAAGAGAATGAAATTGGACCTTTATCTTCTGCTATGCACAAAAATCAGCTGAAATGTATTAAAGATTTAAATGTAAGACTCCTAGGGAAAAATGAAACAAAACAAAACATAGGATGATAGCATGCTGGCATTTGCCTTGACAATGACATTTTGGATATAATACCAAAACTCTAGCAGCAAAAGCTAAAGTAGTTAAGTGGAGTTGCATCAAATTGCCCAGAAAAAGAAACAACCAGTAAAATAAAAAGGTAATCTACAGAATGGGAGAAAATATTTGCCAACCACATGTCTAACAAGTAGTTAATATCCAAAATATATAAGGAATGCACCCAACTCAATAGCAATAAATAAACAAATAAATAAACACACAAAACAATCTGATTAAAAATGAACAAAGGACCTGAATCAATATTTTTTGAAGAAAATATAAAAACTGGTCAACAAGTAAGTGAAAAGGTGCTCAAATCAACTAATCAGGGAAATGTGAATCAAAACCACAATGAGCTTTCACCTCACATATGTTTTAAAATTACTACCTCTAAAATGTTAAAAGATAAACAAGTGTTGGCAAGGATGTGGAGGAAAGAAAACACACATAGTGCTGTGGTAATGTAAATTGGTACAGCTATTATGGAAAATAGTATGGCAGTACCTCAAAAAATTAAAACAGTGACTATCACATGACCCACAAGTCATGCTTCTGGATATCTACCCAAAGGAAATGAAATCAGTACCTCAAAGAGTTTTCTGCAATCCCATGTTAACTGCAGCTTTATTTACTTGTAAGATATCATGCTAAGCAAAATAAGGAAGACACAAAAAATACTGCATGATCTCACATAGAAAATGTAAAAAAACAGAAACAAAAAACAAAAGCTGAACTCATAGAAGCAAAGTAGAATGGTGGTTATCAAACATGGGTGGTTCAGGGAATAAGGCGATACTGGTGAAAAAGTACAGTCATAGGATGAATAAGCCCAGACACCTCATGTACAGCATTGTGACTGTGGCCAGTAATTTCTTAAAGTGCACTGGAAACTTGCTAAGGCAATAGTGTTCAAGTGCTTTCATCATAAATAAGTAAATAAATAAGTAAATGTAACCATGTGAGGAGATAGGCAGGTTTATTTGCTTCACTATGTATGTATATCCCAAAATATCATTTTGGATACTCTAAATATGTAGATTTTTTTATTTAAAAATATCTAATGGAAACAAACCCGTGAGGAAGAACAGTTGTTAATTTCTGACCTCATGAACTCACGTTGTGCTATGGCTTTTATTTGTGCATTTGCTTTGTTTTTTGATTGTAAGAGGAGCACTTCTATTTGCAATGCCAAGAACAGCTGCTTTTTAAA